AAAAGAGATCGGACTGATTAAAGCAGTAGACTTCTAAACACTATCAGGGCTGTGTTGGTTTGATTTCTCTGGCATTTTGGCACTCGGTAAAGCACCCTAAATACTCTAAAATACATATGTCAAACTCAGTCTGGCCCACCATGTTATTTTATATGGCCTTCCAGATGTCAGAGGACAACCCCTGTATTCCTCATCATTAGACCTCATGACTATAGATGATTGTAGTTGCAAAACAGTAACATCTGGGAGGCTGCAGTGTGTTCTGTTTAGTCAGGAGAGTCAGGTTTGAATTTAAATACAATGTTTGATTTTAAAATGTCCTTCAATCTTTCCCCAACCAAGCCACAAGTGCTATTGTGTTGCAATTCCCATTATCCCCAGTCTGCATGGTGATATTCAAAAGTGATACGCACTAGTGTTCAATAACATCTGGAGACCCAAACTGAATAAAAACTAAAAAGCACTGACCACTATTACAATAGGCCCTCCATATCGATGGACTCTCTGTCCATAGATTCAACAGACCTTTAAAGGCAACCATAAGGTTGATGTGGCCCTCGATGAAAGTGGGTTTGGTACCTAGTTAAGGGTACCAAATCCTTAACTAGGATCAGACCTGGTGAATATTTGAATGGGCATAAGAATACCAGGCACTGTAAACTATCTTTCAAAGGAAGGTACTAGCAAAATCATTGCATATGAAATTCATGGGGTTGCCATAACTGAACAGGTGACTTGAAGGTGTGCATATATATATCCGGGCATAGGCCACTCAGAAGACCCCAGATACAGTAAAAAGACATAGTACCTATGAAAGTTACCCACCCCTGAGCTATTGAATCAAGCAGTTCAATACACTGTCAAAAGCTTTCATGACCAGAATCACTAGGTTGCTGTATGGCCATGTTCCAGAAGCATTTTCTCCTGATGTTTCACCCACATCTATGGCAGGCATCCTCAGAGGTTGTGTGGTCTGTTGGAAACAAGGCAACTGATAATGTATTGTCGAAGGCTCTAGAAACATGGCCATATAGCCCGAAAAAACCTACAACAACCTATGCAAGTGAGGTTTATATATCTGTGGAATATTCAGGCTGCAAGGCCATTCAATGCTATTCAAGGTGGCCAAATGCAACATTGACACTTGCCTCCAGCAGACAAAAGTTCTTTCTCCCACCCCGGACCTTCCACAGATATATAAACCCTACTTGTCTATTTTCCAACAGACCTCACAACCTCTGAGGATGCCTGCCATAGTTGTGGGTGAAATGTCAGGAGAGAATGCTTCTAGAATATGACCATACAGCCTGAAAAACTCACAGCAACCCAGTTCAATACAGCCAGTGAGTTCAATACACCACTGCTTTCACACTGAGATACAATTGGTGCAGTTCTCTTACTCTGAGGACAGTGTTTGCTGACTTCCAGGTGGAGTCAACTATAATACCTGTCATGATCAATAGCCACACTGTGGCTAAGGGCATCAAGAACTGAGCTCATCGGATCCAGCCAGGCCCATAGCCGGAGGGGGGGGGGGCTTGAGGGCTTCAGCCCCCCCCCCCCCAATTCTCAGGGTGGTCCATGAGAAGGCCTTACTGGTACATTATTTAAACTGTTATGTTTATTCATATCATGGTCGGATCACCATGCTCAATATATGGGGGTATTGGAATAATGAGACAAAAGGTTTGCTAGGGTAGATCCTGAGCCCCCCCCCCCCCAAATCAAACTCAGCCCCTCACCCCACCCCGAATCAAAATCCTGGCTACGGGCCTGGATCCAGCAAAGGAGACCCAATTGGAAATGGGAAGTAGATAACATCTCAGGGAGGACTATTGCTTGGAAATAACTGCAGAGGATGGGGCTGGAGAACCAAAGTGACACTGTTAGTGGGGATTACAGAACTCAGTTACTTTATTCTCAACTGAAGAACAGAAAATAGAATCATCGCCCCCTTCCATGCAACTGAATAAAATCCCACATTATCTGCTTTGAACAGGCAGTGTAGACTCAGATAACCAAGTTCAAAGCAGATATTGTTTGGCGGAGACGAGAGACAGAGCCTTCTCAGCGGTGACCCCTCGGCTGTGGAACACCCTCCCTATAGATATTAGATTGGCCACCTCCCTTTTAACATTCCAGAAAAAAAGTCAAGACGTGGGTTTTTGAACAAGCGTTTCCAAATGCAGAGTACAAATACAAAGGAAAATGGGACGACGACAATGAGACCGGACAACGTTTTTAACAAGGAGACACTATGAATTTATATTTTACTAGCCGTCCCCTGCCACGCGTTGCTGTGGCCGTTTGTGTATATGTTTTGTGTGTGTATATATGTGTGTGTTTATACATGCATATTGTGTATACGTGTGTATATATTTGTGTATCTATGTGTATATATTTGTGTATATATGTATGTTTGCATATATATGTGTGTGTATATATTTGTGTATTTTTGTGTTCATATGTGTACATGCATATTGTGTATATGTGTGTGCTTATTTATATGCACATTTGTGTGTATATATGAATGTATGTGGATATGTATATGTGTGTGCATGTGTATATGTATATATGTGTGTATACATGTGTATTTGTGCATATATATACGCGTGTATGAATGTGTGCATGTGCATTTATATATGAGTGTATGTGTGTATGTATGTATGGTGTATTTTTGGGGTTTTTAAGTCTGTTCCGCTGGGGTTGTGTGTGTGTGTTTATGAGTGATGGACACTCATTGGATTGTTAGGTGTGTTGTGTCCAAATTTCATGTCAATTTGTCCGGTGGCTTTTGAGTTATGTTAATTCCACAAATGAACATTACATTTTTATTTATATAGATTGATATGTTTAATTTTTATTATATGTTATGTTTTTAATTATGGTATATTTATGATATTGTAAGCATTGAATTTTACCCTGTTAACCGCCTTGAGTCGCCTACGGGCTGAGAAAGGTACACAAATTACAGTAAATAAATAAGTAAATATTGTGGGATTCTCTGCTTTGATATTCTGGATTATATGGCTGCATGGGGAAAAAATATAAGAGATTTACAGATAGGCGTAAGGCTATCCTTAAAAATGTGGAATAAACATGGAGAACTGGGCAGCCCTTGAGTGTTATAGTGGGAGATCAGCTATTACCAATTTTGAAGAGAGTGAAAGGGGGAAACATGTCAGGAGGAAGGAACATCAAGCCAACCTTTCTTGTGACTGCCTCCCACCTGGAAATCTATGCTCCCACTGTGGCAAAGCACGGAGAACCAGAAGACTCTACCTCTGGATCAGCCACAAGTGATCGCCCATCCACAAGTAAAGATGCCCTTCTTTGCACTAAAGCACATGACAAACTGTCACTTTCCCGAGGCAGAAGGGGTTGGTGTGCTGGGAGGACGCAAAAGAAAGGAAACCAACTTGGAAGAAGCACCTCTGAAGGGGGTCTGGCATTTAGCCATCTCTCAAGCCGCAATGCCAAGGCTCCCTGCCAAATGAGAAGTTGTGAGAGTGCCTGGAAAGCTCTTTCACTGGGACAGTCCTGGGAAGGGGTGTGTTCCCAAGAAGGCAGGCACAGCAACCGCACCGCCATAGGCACGAGAGGTATAGCAACCAAACTGTCTTGCCTTCTGTGGGAAGGGAAGGAAAAGAGAGAGGGGGGGAGAGCTCTCCATCAGGGCACCCAGGAAGCAGCTCGCTCCAAGCAAGGGCTTGGGGGTCGGAAAGAAGCCGGCTCCTCTCCGCGGGATTCCCCGCAGCAGCGCCTCCAACCTGGTTCCCTTCCTGCTCCGGGCAGAAAGGCAAAGGCAGAAGGGAAGGAAAGAAGCAGAGGAGGACTCGCCAAGTAGACACAGTAGACGCCTCCCTGCCTGCCTGGACTCGAAGAGGAGAAGGGAGGGAGGGAGGGAAGGAGGAGGAAAGAAGAGGAAAGGAAAGGAAGGACTGGAAGGAAAGATGGGAAAGAAAGGAAAGGAAGGAAGGAAGGAAGGAAAGAAGGAAGGGAAGGGAGAAGGAAAGGAAGGAGGAGGAGGGAAGGAAAAGGGAAGGAAGGAAAGAGAAGGAGGAAGGAGAAGAGGGAGGGAAGGAAGGAAGGAAGAAAGAAAAGAAGGAGGGAAGGAAGGAAGGAAAGAGGAGGGAGGAAGGAAAGAATGAAGGAAGGAAGGAGGAAGGAAAGAAAAAGAGGAAGGAGGAGGGGAAGAAAGAAAAGGAGGGAAGAAGGAAGGAAAGGAAAAGAAGGAGGGAGGAAAGGGCTGGAAGGAAAGGAAAGGTTGGAGGGAGGGAAGGAAGGAAGGAAAGAAGGAAGGAAGGGAAAAGGAGGGAGGGGAGGGCTGGAAGGAAAGGAAAGGAGGGAAGGAAAGAAGGAAAGAAAGAAAGGAAAAGAAGGAGGGAGGAAAGGGGGAAAGGAAAGGAGGGAGGAAGGAAGGAGGAAGAAGGAAGAGAAAGGAAAGGAAGGAAGAAAAAGGAAAGAAGGAGGAGGGAAGGAAGGAAGGAAAGGAAGGAAAGGAGGGAAGGGAGGAAGGAAAGAAGGAGGGAGGGAGGAAGGAAGGAAGGAAAAGAAAGAGAGGGAAGGAAGGAAGGGGAAGAAGGGAAGGAAGGAAAAGAAGGAAGGAAGGAGGAAGGAGGGAAAGAAGGAGGAAGGAAGGAAGGAAAGGAAAGGAGAACAGGGAAAAAGGGAAAGGAAAGGAAAGGAAAAGAGGGAAGGACTGGACCGAAAGGAGGGAGGGAAAGAAGGAAAGGGGAGGAAGAAGGGGGAAAGAAGGAAGGAGAAGGAAAGGAAAGGAGAGAGAGAAGGGCAAAAGAAAGGAAGAGAGCGGGAGGGAGAGTGGGAGAAAAGCAAGCAAGGAAGGAGGAAAAAGAGGTGAGCAGGGAAGCAAGGCAAGATGAAAGCGAGGAGGAAGGCAAGAAAGAAGGGAGGGAAGGGAGGAAGGCAGAAAAGAGGGAAGAGAGAGAGAGACCCCGGTGTGTTTCGAGCCCTGCCTGCCTCTCCTTCTCTTTTCTTACCAGATGAAGTCGGTGCAGTGGCTGCAGAAGGTGGGCTGGCGGAAGAAGCGCGCGATGAATTTGTGGTTCCTCACCTCGTGGACGTTCTTCTGGCGGAGGGCCCCTTTGCGGGCGAAGCGCTGCGCCACCTCCTCGGAGCCCGAGCCGGGCTCCACCAGGGGGAAGACGTCCGCCATGGCCGCACCGGCAGGCAGACCACCCAGCCGCCCACCCAACCGGCCTTTCCCTTCTTCGCTCCCTCGGCCCAACCCAGGCAAGGCGGCGGGAGGAGGAGGAGCCCCTCTCCTGTCCTGTCCCGTCCCGTCCCGTCCGGCAGCCTGCGGGAGAGTGAGGCTGGGCTGCGTGGCGCGGCTGGGCGCTGCCTTCCCGGCCCGCTCGGGCTCCTCCTGACGTCTGAGGGAAAAAGGAGGAGGAGGAGGAGGATCCCCGCTCGGGGCCAACCCCGACGGCCCCGCCCACCCGCCAGGAAGGAAGCAAGGAAGGAAAGAGGGAGGGAGGGGCGCCCAATGCCCAGCTACGGGGCGCGCGGAGGGAAGGAGGGAGGGACAGGAGGGCGCGCGGACGGGGAACAGCGGGGAAGCCCGTCTCTAGGGCAACCAGCGTGCGCGCGGATTCGGGGAAGGGGTGAAGGGAGCGCGCTTCCCAAAGGAGGCCCCCCCTCCCTCCGGAGAGCCTTCTTCACCTGTGGCTTTGCCAAGCTCAGAGGCACGCCCCGCTGCTCGGAATCACGCGGGCCTGATTCACCAACTGGTCTCTCTCTCTCTTTCCAAAATATGCCCCACACACATCTGACACTGCCATATAAAAATCACTTTATCTGCTTTGAACTGGATGGTAGGAGTCCACACTGAATATAATCCAGTTCAAAGCAGATCATGAGGATTTGGTATGGACAGGGAGGGCCCTTTCCACACAGCTGCATACAATCCCACATTATCTGCTTTGAACTGGAATATATGGTATGGTGCACTGCCATATAACCCAGAATATCAAGGCTGAACATCCCCCAGTATCTGCTTTGAACTGGGTTATCTGAGGGCCCTTCCACACAGACCTATATCCCAGAATATCAAGGCTGAAATCCCCCAATATCTGCTTTGAACTGTGTTATTTAAGGGCCCTTCCACACAGCCCTTAAATATCAAGGCAGAAATCTCACAATATCTACTTTGAGAAGGTTTATCTGAGGGCCCTTCCACACAGCCCTATATCCCAGAATTTCAAGGCAGAAATCCCATCATATCTGCTTTGAACTGGGTTATCTGAGGGCCCTTCCACACAACTCTATCTGAGGGCCCTTCCGCACAGCCTTATATCCCAGAATTTCAAGGTAGAAAATTCCGCAATATCTGCTTTGAACTGGGTTATCTGAGGGCCCTTCCACACAGCCCTATATCCCAGAATATCAAGGTGGAAATCCCACAATATCTGCTTTGAACTGGGTTATCTGAGGATTTTTCCACACAGCCCTATATCCCAGAATATCAAGGTGGAAATCCTACAATATCTGCTTTGAACTGGGTTATCTGAGGGCCCTTCCGCACAGCCCTATATCCCAGAATATCAAGGTAGAAAATCCCGCAATATCTGCTTTGAACTGGGTTATCTGAGGACCCTTCCACACAACTCTATATCCCAGAATATCAAGGCAGAAAACCCCACATTATCTGCTTTGAACTGAGTTATCTGAGGGCGGATCCAGACAGGCCGTTATCCCAGGAGAATCCACGTTTTAAAAACGTGGATTTTCCTGGAGGCCTGTTCACACACACCCCAGAAAGTGCGTACTTTCTGGGGTGAGTGTCCAGACGTTCTCCTGGGACTAGCCCGGGAGAACATCTGGAAGCCCTACCCCTCTCCCACCAAGTTCCCAGACACTTTTGAAAAGTAAAAAAAACTTACCTAGCCTCCAGTATACTCTCTGACGTGCCAAGAGAGCGGGGGGCAGGGAAGTGAAGAGGAAAAGGAGAGGCGCCCCCAACCTGCTCTCCTGGCGCATCATTGGTGCACACCGGGAGAGCTGCTCAGAGAGTATACTGGAGGCTGGGTAAGTTTTTTTTCACTTTTCAAAGGGGTTTGGAGGTTTGCAGGGGAGGGTATTCCCACTATCTAATTAATTCGCTACAAACCAGGGGTTTCCTGGTTTGTAGCAAATTAATTTCAGGTCTATCCAGAACATTGTCTGGACAGCCCTTCTTTATTGCAGTAGATACCACAATAAAGGTACTGTCTGGACAAGCCCTGAGTCCATACTCAGGTAATGTGGGATTTTCTGCCTTGATATTCTGGGATATAGGGATGTGTGGAAGGGCCCTGAGAGGAGAAGAGATGGTGCAATGAAGACTTTTTTTGCTTCTCCTATTCACACCTCAAAGCCACCTGTTTTTGAGTGTTTCCCCTCAGAGAATGTGAACTTTACAAAGGCGAAACACACACATCCTCTCCTCAGTACACTTGGCAGGCTCTTCCAAGGCCCCTTCCACACAACTGAATAAAATCCCATTTTTCTGCTTTGAACTGGAATATATAGTGCAGGCATGGGCAAACTTGGGCCCTCTAGGTGTTTTGGACTTCAACTCTCACAATTCCTAACAGCCTCAGACCCCTTCCTTTCCCCCCTCAGGTGCTTTAGTAGCTGAGGGGGGAAAGGGAAGGGCCTGAAGCTCTTAGAGCAGTGTTTCTCAACCTGGGGGTCGGGACCCCCGTGGAGGTTGCGAGGGGGTGTCAGAGGGGTCGCCAAAGACCATCAGAAAGCATAGTATTTTCTGTTGGTCATGGGGGTTTTCTGTGGAAAGTTTGGTCCAATTCTATTGTTGGCGGGGTTCAGAATGCTATTTCATTGTGGGTGAACTATAAATCCCAACAACTACGACTCCAAAATGGCAAGGTCTATTTCCCCAAACTCACCAGTGTTCACATTTGGGCATATTGAGTATTTGTGCCAAGTTTGGTCCAGATCCATCATTGTTTGAGTCCACAGTGTTCTCTGGATGTAGGTGAACTACAACTCCAAAAACTCAAGGTCAATGTCCACCAGACCTTCCCAGTATTTTCTCTTGGTCATGGAAATTCTGTGTGCCATGTTTGATTCAATTCCATCATTGATGGAGTTCAGAAGGCTCTTTGATTTAAGGTGAACTATAAATCCCAGCAACTCCAGCATTACCAAATGACAAAATCAATCACCCCCAACCCCACCAGTATTCAAATTTTGGGTGTTGTGTCAAATTTGGTCCAGTGACTGAAAATACATCCTGCATATCAGATATTTACATTACAATTCATAACAGTAGCAAAATTACAGTTATGAAGTAGCAACGAAAATAACGTTATGGTTGTGGGTCACCACAACATGAGGACCTGTACTAAGGGGTCATGGCATTAGGAAGGTTGAGAACCACTGTCTTAGAGAGTTGAAGTTCAAAACACCTAGAGGGCACAAGTTTGCCCATGCCTGGTATAGTGAGTCAAGGGGGGTCTGTGTGCCAAATTGGTGGGGATCGCAGTGGTGTGTGGAAGTCAGAGCCAAAGTGGGTGAAGGTACTGCAAATCCAGTCATCCATGTTCCATCAATTAACTGCATCACGCTGTAAAGTGCATCATGGCTTGTGGGGTCTGTGTGCCAAGTTTGGTCCAGATTCGTTGTTGGCAGGAGTTACAGTGCTCTCGGAAAGTTGGGCCATCTTGAAAAATACATACACACACTGTCAGGGGCGGCTCAACCCATTACGCAAAGTAAGCATTTGCAGTATAGTTGATTTTGCCCAGGGGTGCTCTTGAGGCGCTCTTGGGGGAAAATAGACCTTTACATATGTGAGTTGTAGTTACTGGGATGTATAGTTCACCTACAATCAAAGAGCATTCTGAACTCCACCAATGATGGAATTGAACCAAATATGGCACACAGAACTCCCACGACGAACAGAAAATATATATCAGTGATTGGTTGGGGGGGGCAAAATACTGTTTGCTTACCATTGAAAATTACCTAGGGCCGCCTCTGCACACTGTATATAGATTATTATTATTATTATTATTATTATTATTATTATTATTATTATTATTAACTTTATTTATACATCACTCCCTGTGGGGACTCAAGGCGGCTAACAGTCCCAGACTAGACCAGTTTTAAAAGTGCAATACAAAAGGTAAAAAAAACAATTAAATAGTAACAGTGTGGTTAAAAGCAGAACTGCAATACAATAAATACACTTCAAATGGCCTTTAAAATCTATAGCTTTCCAAACTATGTGCTGCCACTCCTTAGTGCAGAGCTTTCCAAACACTTCATGTTGGTGACACGCTTTATAGACATGGGTTGTTTTGTGCTACAGTCATTCAGTTGGACTAACAAACTGGAGGTTAAACCAACCTCTTTTAAGAGAGACAGGTGCATACATAAAGTGTCACAACAAAATGAATGGCAGCCTAGAATATCTCATGAAAACCTTTCATTTTTAAAAAAATACATGATTTATTGCTTATTTCACATAGACTCAGAGGTTTCTTGCTATGTTCACATGGCACACCTACACAATAATGTACTGTGACACACAGCTTGAAATGTCTGTGTTAGTGTGTTGGCTGCAGTGTGTAGGTGTGTAGCATGAATGTAATGGAAAACCTCTGAGTTGTTGTGAAATAAGCAGTTAATGTGGTGTCAACCTACATTAATTCTATAGCGTAGAGTACCCTAAGCATAACTGAAATAGTATTGCTACCCACATCCCTATTTGAAACAGCATCTATCTCTATAAATAAAAATGTTCTGTGCATAATGAGTACCTTAAAAACAAAAGAACCAATGAACGAAATCACACCAAATTTGGCAACAAAACATCTCACAACACAAGGAGTGGCCATCACTCAAAAAATTATGAGTTTGTCATTTGAGAGTTGTAGTTGCTGGGATTTATAGTTCACCTACAATTAAAGAGCATTCTGAACTCCATCAACAATGGAATTGAACCAAACTTGGCACACAGAACTCCATGACCAACAGAAAATACTGGAAGGGTTTGGTGGGCATTGACCTTGAGTTTGGGAGTTGTAGTTCACCTACATCCAGAGAGCACTGTGGACTCAAACAATGATGGATCTGGACCAAACTTGGCACAAACACTCAATACGCCCAAATATGAACACAGATGGAGTTTGGGGGAAATAGACCTTGACATTTGCGAGTTGTAGTTACTGGGATTTATAGTTCACCTACAATCAGCATTCTTAACCCCACCAATGACAGAATTGGGGCAAACTTCCCACACAGAACCCCCATGACCAACATCCAGTCCTACTCCCTTCACCAGGGCAAGAAAACGTAATCAAAGCACTCCTGACAAAGAGCCATCCAGCCATAGATATAGATAGATATGATTCACACACACAGAGATATAGTATCATAG